ACTTTCCGATGTTGTAGAGGGCTAAAACTTAGCTCAGACACTCATCTTGGATGACAATACAATATCACGTAATCATATTGGGACTCGGACATCTAGGTCGCCTTACACAGGGTCAAATGTTGGGGTCATTTCACTAAAATTTCATGTTTTTTCCAAATCATCCAAAATTAATTTAGTAAACTATTCAGCAATCATTAAATACCTTTAATAGAACTAAAAACTAAAAATATAAATTTAAAAAAACTTTTTTAAAAACATGCTTTTCTAAAAAAAAAAAATAGTAAAAAGTAAACTAAAAAGTAAAAAATTATTTTATTACAAGAACAATTTACCATTCAATTGTAGCATATTTTATTTAAAATGTCAATTACTTTGAAAACAACCGAAAATTAACTACAATTTTAAATAATGCTAAACATCTTTAATTTTTGACTAAAAAGATTTACATTTAAAAGCGTGGGCCCTATTCAACAAAGTCCCTGATAAATTTATCAGATAATGTTTTATATTGTAAGTCTTTTTGTAATTTAAATTTTATTATTTATTTTGTTTTGACCACTTAAGTTCATTAAATAATTTTGTCCGGCTTTTTCATAAAAATACTTTCTCATATGCGCTGTTTGTATTGTAGTATTTTCATAATATTTTTTTTAGGTTATATCTATATCTTTAAAATTACTAAAAATATTAGTGTTTGTAATAATTATCCATAATTTATCAAATTACTTAAGATGGGTATTTGATTTAATGTAATATAACTAAAATCCGAATCATTCGTTGTCCAACTTTAACCAAAAAAACACTTTCAACCTTTCTCCTGGGGGGAGGGAGATTATTAAAATATTTTCGAACACATACAGTTTCGTTACAAATTAGTACATTATTTTTTAACTACCATCAATTAATATTCATTAATCTAGTATTAAGTTTTAAGCAGAAAAACATGCCGATCTAAAGACAAAGTAATAAATAAAATTGTCAATGATTGAATTTCTTTTTTTTTTTTTGTGCACTTCATTTTTAGTAAAATATTCTTAATTGAAAAGAGTTAATAAAATATCCACGTTACCATTTAAAAGTTTATATAAAAATAGTTAGTTTGGGTGGGGTTAAAACATAAAAACTTGTGAGATATTGAGATCACATTGTTAAAAAGCATTATGCAAAAAAAAAAATTCAATTACTAATTAAATCCTTTGAGATTTAATAGTGAGATTCAATAGCGGCTCACGATGAAAAATCACTGTATAATATCTATAATAAAAACGCATGAAAATAATAGGATAACATAAGAAAATATAATTTTCACAGGACATAAGACGGCAAACGTTTTTCTTTGTACATCTAATTACATATTTTAGTTTGAGGTAATTTCGTTTGATATATTTCAAGATTAAGTCAATATAACAACGTGACATTATGACATGAATGGCAAATTTAAGAAAGGAACGGATTATTCATGTGCACAATGTTAAAAATAATCACAGTTACAATATTATAAACAAATAGTTCCAATTAACTTACAGACGTTAAACCATTATAATTTTATTTATTTATTAAATCTATGGAAAAAATTACATTGAATAACTATGAGGAACGCTATAATATAAAATGTACGTATACTCTGTACACCTTATGTGATAGTTACAAAGATTACCGCAAATACCAAAATTGTTGGTAATTACCTTATTTCCGATACATACCTATTTTCGGTAAATAGTGTATTTTTGGTAAATACCGTAATTACTGGTAATATTTAAATACCGTAATACCGGTATTCAAATATCAAATACCGCCAGCCCTACTCTATGGCAGCAACTTATTCACCTAAAATTACTTTAATTTATAGAATTAATAATATATTTAACATTTTGACTAATTGGGTTCGAAAAATATAAAAAATATTTCAAATATTGGACAATAATTTCATGAAACGCTAATAAAAATTGTTTATTTCTAACAAAATGTTTTATCAAAAAAAAAATATACATTTAAACAAACGTTATTAAAATAAGAACAAGTTTAAACTAAATGTTTTAAAATCACCTACACTCCTTAAGCACGGTTAAATACACATAGGTAAGAGCATCGTTAAAAGGAGTCTGATAACTACCGTTATACAATAATTTAATTATGATCCTTACTTATAATTTAATAAATTATTAGTATTCACCTGACGACATACGACCAATATTAGAGCTGCATATAATATAAGGGTATTGGTGCAGACTTGTTGGGTTGGTGACCGCTTGCACAGCAGTATCATCAAAATGGAAATGACCAAATCCTTTAAAATTGGCTATACCCAAGGATATAACGCAAAATGTAAGGTGTACAAAAATGTAATAGAAATTATTTAAACATAAATAAAATAAAAGTGATCACCCCACCCTCAATATAGTTAATATAACAAAATGCTATTGACACTAAACTCGAGAACTTGCAAAGTGAGGAATGAAAGTTTGACTATTCGCATAATATATTAGAACACGGTTACGTGGAATCCACGAACACCGTTAAAATATTCTTTTGACTCAGATGACATTTTTGTTCATAGGAATAATAAGATTAAAATGTTACTTACGAAGTCGTCCGAACAGGAATTATGCAAAGATAGGATATTGGTTAATACTGATAGATAAGAATGAACAATAAAATTGTAAGTATCAAGCATGGTTAAATACTGAAATATCGAACACCGTTAAAATACAATCTTATTTTATTAGTTCAAAAGATGATTTTAATAAATGAATCCCCGGGTATTTCTGCAACATTTCTCCATGCTACCCATAAAGCCATCCCAAGAGGTACTATCCATTTTTTACTGCTCAAGTGTTTATTTTAATCGTAAGATACTTATTTATATTGCACATATGGTATTAAAGCATTATATAACAATGAACCTTGGTAAATTGATAAATATATAAAAACTTTGGGATTTAAGGTTGATACTATGTGCACACCATCTAGTGTTTACATTTCTTCAAAGTCTCTGGTCGGCGGTACGGCAGAACTGGCCGGCAGCTGGTGAATTACACGTAGACAATTGAAGGGCACAAGGGAAAAACAGTAGTAGTCACATTATGCAATTTTTTTTTTTAAATGGTTTTTTTCAATATATCCCAATAAATTTTTTTATTTATGTTAATAGATTGTTTAAATAAATACATTTATTATTATAGTACCATTTAATGTGATTTTTTTTGTTCTTATGTAAGAGATAGAGGAATTTACTAACTTTGTTTTTGCTATATTCTATAATTTTTATAATGTGACAACTACCGTTTTTCCCCTGTGCCATTCAATTGAAACATGTAAGGTTTCACAGTACATCTAATAACAATCTCCACTTAGTTTTTGCTAAGCGAAGAGTGATCACCCGGGCCAAGCCCAAGAGAGGGCGGCCCAACATAACAATTTCTTTATAATAATAAATAATAGAAATAAATATATTAAACTAACACTTTAACCGTTGACCATTTGGCCGTAATACTGTTGGCTGGCACATACACCTTAACCAGTAACTACTTGATTATTGCATACTGAACAAGTTTTTTTTTTACATGCTCAAAAATATTACGGCCACATACATAGTCAGAGCACAATGTGTATTTGTTGTCAACAAAAATGTTTTATCGTTTTAACAAGTTGGTTTTAAACCTTTCCTTTCTCTTGTTAAAAAAAAAAACCAACACGTTCATCAAACACGTAATATATATTGTAATAGGCTCGTCAATTATACAGACCAAGAAAATTTAAAAATTAAAATTAATTTAAAATCAGTTTAAAATTAATACCGACAACTCGAATTATTAAACATCTGAATATTTTATTCTAAACGACAATGCGAAAAAATTGAATTTGCATCAAAACTCAAACGTAAAAACGCCGATGGCGAGGGCCAGAGAAATGACTCGTCACTCGATTCGAGAGAATGATAAGTGACCGCTGGCGAATATGTTATCAACTTTTTTTTTCTCGACAACAGGGGTTCTCCAACTACCGCCGCCGTTGGAGTTGGGGGTAGTTCTTCCAAAAAATGATAACATGTGATAAGAAATAAATGTTACATAACCTATAAAATGTGTAACACTATAGATAGTACCAATATCGATTTTACCAAAAACCCGCCAAAAGAAATTTCGTATTTTAATATCAAAAGCATTGCCTTTAGTTAGGTTCTAATCTTTATTGCAAATTGTAGCTAGATCTTTATCAATTCTCTAATTAATCGTGTATTCACTATACACGTAAAATTATATAATGCAAAATTCATAATAAATTACATTATATTAGTGTATATACATAACTTATAAGTATATGTTATACATTATAAACGTACAGTCCAAAGTGAACCTATTGCCGGATAAAGACTTGTGGTGAGAAAAAAAATTGTTTTTAAAATAATTATTATTCACTTAATATTTTACAGAAATTAGTTTATATTAAGCTACTCTGGGTATATATTTTATTAAAGAAACCAAACTAAACAATGTGAATTTGTTCAGTAAAAGTTATTCATATGATTTAAAAATATGATTCAATTTTTGGTCAATATAAATTTGCAAATTTACAATTATCTCTTGATTTGAAAATGTCCATATTTGTTAGAAGATTGCATAGCCCACATTTTATTAATCTATGTACTTATTTATTTAATATGGCCATTTACTTAGCGATAACCAAGTCTCTACGATGAACTTAAAGTTTTAATACCACACAAAAACTGTCTACATTCCATTTATTAAGAAATGTATACTTTTCTTATATTATAAAAAAAAAATTGAAATAATACATATTATAAAATAAAGAGACACAATTGCAAGTTGCAGCATCTCATCATATTTATTTATCTCTTATCTCGTTCTCATCGAGATCTGCTATTAAAGCTCTTTTTGCTCACAAAAAGTTTAATAAGTTATAATGAGACTAATTTAAGTTTGTTAATATTTACTTAAGATTGGTCAAGTTGTGAAACTTAAAATGATATAGACGTAGCTATGGACATATTTAATGGGGAAATTAATGAGGCTATTCCCAAATCCACTAATATGTATAAAATAAAATTATCAAATCAGAAATTAAAAGGTTGGATATCAAGCGGTCAGGTTAACTCTATTTTAACTAAGTGAACATTTGAAAACAGATTAGATAATCCCATTTTGATTTATCATTAATTAAAAATGGTATAATTATGTTAAGAATATCTTATACCCACATAGTTTTGGTTAGAAATACTATATCAAACTAGTAGAAGATAATTCTAACTTTATACGGTTAAACAGTTGTACTTAACAATGAAAAGTATAAAAGTTGTAGGTATTTAATTTATCATGCGATGTTATTCTACTGCCGTTTACTAAAAGAATATAATATTATGTAACAGGTTAGACTATAATCTAATTAAAATATATTGATAAAATAATAATATGTACTTTGCGTTTATTACAATGCCCATAGAAGCATTAACTGTTAGCATAATTATTCCAGTAGACCAACATGCTTCATTTACATCATAATGTAGAACACTATCTATTGGTCGTCAATATCATCAGATCCACCAATTTTTTAACCTAAAATTATGATATTAGGCATATTTTATAATAGGATTTTTAGAAAACTTTTGGTGAAAATTAAAATTTGTTATCTCAAGCCGTTTAGGACTTGCAAAGTGTCCCGTATATAGGACACTGCGTGACTGACAAAAAAAAATTATCAAATACTTATTTATTATTTAAGTAGTTCAATCAGAAATAAAAACAAATCCTTTTTTAATAATTATTTAAAATGTATATAACTTTTACTTAAATTTTAGAATGAAATTGCCTAAAACAATTTCAATTTCTTCAACGTCTCTTGACAAATCATTAAAAACCAGATAAATCAGCATCGAGTATATCAAGAATTGATTTTTAATTCAATTTATGCATTTTTATAAATTTATAATTCAAAACGATATAACTGTAGTCATAATAGCAACACAAATTTATAATAATAGTACGCATTACACTTTTCGCGCCATTTACCAATGTACAGTTACAACGTCCCAACATTACGAACCCCTGATAAAAGGATTAAACCCGGTGGAGGTAAAAAACACGTGACAACATCATATTTGATAAAATATATTTTTCTTCCATGAAAAAGTCATGGTAAACAACATTTCTGGCTGTAAAAACATGCGGTATCAACAATAAAAAACATTAAATTTCGATATTTATTTAAAGTTTCAATTACTCAAAAACTATAAAAAAAAATTACCTTTAATGAATAAAATATAATGTATAAATGGTAATCTATCGGTGAAACACAATAATAGACTTATGTCGTTTTTACACAATAAAAATATATTTATTTAAAATCTTTTTTAACCAGATCTTCCCATCTCATACGAGGCCTTCCCAGTGGTCTCTTCCATACTGGATCTTTTTCTAATACTATACGTAACAAAGGATTCTGACTACGCCAAGCATGCCCAGTCCACTTTAGTCGTTTACTCCTTACTGTCTCCAATATATTCGGCTTTTGGAAAAGTAATTCCAGCTCATTATTCGTTCTTATCCTCCACTCATTGCTTTTGCTATCTTTCATCGGTCCATAAGTCTTCCTTAGAACTTTTCTCTCCCATACTATCAGCTTTCTTTCATCTTCTTTTCGTAGTGGCCACGTTTCCGCTCCGTAAGTTATAACTGGACGCAGTAATGTCGTATATAGCTGTATCTTAAGCTCCCTCGATAAAGATCTAGATCCTAGCAGTTTTGCTAGTCCATAGTAAGCTCTATTGCCGGCAAGTATCCTTGCTGAAATTTCCTTGACTATCTCATTCTTTTCAGTTATAACTGACCCTAAGTATTTAAACTGCTTGGCTCTGCTGAAAACATAGTTCCTTACATTCAAGGATAAGTACACACCGGCAGTGTCTCGTCTGCCAACGACCATGTACTCCGTTTTGGTTTCGTTTATCTGTAGTCCTACTTTCGATGCCATTCTTTGTAGACGGTCGAACATTGATTTCAGTGCGTTCGGTGATTCTTCCATTAATACCAAATCGTCCGCGTACGCCAATAGGCCTATTGAGGAGTCCTGCAGTTTCACTCCTTCGTCGGGTAGTATCGATTATAATACCATTTTTATCTTAGCCAAGTTGGTTTGGTTTGTTCTGGCCCGGACATCTTAAAACATTTTTAATCCTGTCCGGGTTTTAATAACATAATTTTGACCCGGGCTTGGTTGGTCCGAGTTACGAAATAATATTTTACATGTCGGTCTGGTCCGGATAAGTAGTATTTTTCTATTTCATGGTCCGGTCCGGACCAATTTTATTAGGACCGGACAGACTGCTACTGAGTACCACTTCCCAAAAAATGCAAGCATAAAATATGTACTTGTTGAATGGGGGATAATACATGATTTCTGTTTGTATGATGAACTGTACGGCTGACAATGTACTCCAACTTAACCGAGTTCAATCTGAACTGTTCGTTGTATTCATATCGAGCAATACAATTATTAATAATTCTTAAACGGAACATTATTTTTCGACGAATGATAAAATTTTCACCGTCGCTGTCTAAACTTAAAAACGAGGATGACCACATTTTAAAAAAATTCTCAGTGTTTAAGAATAAATATAAAATAATATTAATAACAATTGTCACTTAAAAAACTATACTCCCAGAGACTAGTCAAATTGTTATCATATTTTCAATATATTTTAAAAATCATTGTTGTTTATGAAACGAAAAACAAGTTTTTTTACAATATTTTCCAGAATTTTTTTTAACTTGTCACTTGTCACTTGTATATTATATGAAACATAAATTTAACAAGTGAATAAAATTTACTAGTTTACCTATGGTCAAATTCGACTATTATGAAAGAGTAGAGACTCCTCGAGGACACACCTACAAATACCCAAAGATTACCCTAAAAAGTCCCTTTGATATCCGAAAAACGACTCCTGATAATAATAACGCAAAAATAAAATTCTATAAAACCCATATTCTTTTCTGTAAAATTCGTTTTTTGACGTTTCTATTAGAATTACCACTAGAGATTTTTATATCATTTTTTTATATTGACTATTTTTAAATTATGTTATTAATATTATAGTTTTGTACAATTGTAAAATTGTGAAATACAATACTTATTCAGAATACTAGTTGTAAAATAACGTTTGTCGAATCATGACAGTTGGGACGGTGCCAAATATTGCGTCCATTACGGTTAGGTACTTGTTTTGTGTGTCAGTGCCACAATATTATAAGGTGTTATTATTAGGTATACCGTATACAATGACATTATTGTTATTATGTTATTATCTTACCGCAATACAATGCGTAAAACCGCAAAAGGTTCGGACGTAAACGATTTTTGAGACGAGACCCCGAACAAAAGGTATCGATATAATAAAAAGACATATCCATGTCAATATAAGACGGGATGATAATAATATTATAATTCTATTATCGAACGTTGTTTATTGTTGCTGAGATCCTAAGCGATTACATTGGCCCGTTCACTTACCGTGTAAACAAACGACACAACAGATGTTGTAGAGGAGATTTTGGATTATTTTTTAGGGGAGAGGACACTTCTTCTTTTAGAGCCGCGGTCGTGCACATTATTATAATGGACATGATAATATTATTTCGTCGGGACCGTTAAACCGCATTCGATTATGTCACCGCAACAAGTGAACGCCAACATCTGGGCGGTTCGGATGACCGATATCGGATAATAATATCTCGTCATCAATAACAGCTAATTTAATATTGTGTAATAAAAAAAATTATCCATCAGGACATATTTGCACATACTATAGCCGCACCTGGACAGGTCGATAGATTTAGTTGTAAGACGGTGTGTAGCCATACGAATAAATAAATAACAAATAATCTGATGATGGAAAATTCGACAAAATGGTCTACGTTTAACATTTAAGTATTAAATAAGAGACGTTGCTTTTGACGGCTTAGGTGGTGAAATTTATCTACACTTACCACTTTATATTATGTTATATATATATATATATATATATATATATATATATTGCATGTTTATATCATGTGAAAATAAGAGTTTTGAATTATGAATTTAAAAAGAATTCTAATAAAAATATTCATTTAATATTTATAAGAAACGAAAGTAAATTTTATTTACCAATAATTATCGTTGTCGTCATATGAACTATTTGTTTTATTGTCATTATAAATGTATCGTAAAAAGATGTACTATTTAAGAAAATATAATATATATTTTCAATATTTTAACACAGTTTATTTTTTTATTGTTTGAATTATGCCGTTTGCGGTTTGCCGGAACTAGGTTCTAAGATAACCGTTAATTCTGATAAACGTTAGTTATATTTTAGTTACTTTTATTCTGATAGGATTGGCAGACTGATAGAATGTGATTTTATATTTTGTAGTTTTGGGGTTGGTCACGCTGATAAAATACAAATTTGTGTTATCATTTGGAAGAACTCTTAGCTTTTATCATTTTTTTGGATGAACGGATAGTTGCTTTTCTTTAAGGGGAAAACTAACGATTCCTTTATTTTGCATTAAATATGGTTACACTGAGTTTTATTACATCCATAGATTCCCTACACTACCTTAGATTAGCATATCCCCTGATTATCAAAACATAATTTTCCATTGTTTAATTTTGCATAACTCATAAAAAATCAGTTGCTCATGCTGCATTACGATGTTTAAGAGTGTTCTTGTGATTTTATTATTATGCATACTTGCGTGGTCATTAGGGTGGTCCTTAGTCATAGATGAAGAATTTTTTTAAAAGTTTTTCAATGGGCTACCCCGCCATTTTGTTCATTACTAGGAAAAAAAATTTGGGTAGAATTTGGTTTTGATAACTCACCCCTTCACGTGCCGCAAGGGGGTTGAAAAATGACCAAATGAGGTAGTTTTATAGTTTTTTGAGTTTAAATAAAAAATTATTGCATTTAGCATAAAATTACATATTAACTTTATGATAGATCATTAAAATCTCTATAAAAAAGGTATTCACAAATTTTTCCAAAAATGCATTATTATCCAAGAAAAAAATAAAACATAATTTTTTTCATTTATTTGGAAAACATTTTTATAGGAAAAAATATGATTATTTTATTTCGTTCCCGGGTCGATTTCTATACTTTTTTTTCTAACGATAATTTTCGTTTTTCACAATATATTTGTTTAAACGATCTTTAAATACATGATGGTTGATCGTATGAAATTTTTCCTAATGATCTATTTTGTAGACAATTTAATTTTGTATAAATTTTGTATAATAAATTATTTTGTTTTACTCGATTTCCAATCGTTCATCGTTAATGAAAAAAATTATGTTTTATTTTTTTTCTTGGATAATAATGCATTTTTGGAAAAAATTGTGAAAACCTTTTTTATAGAGAATTTAATGATCTATCATAAAGTTAATATGTAATTTTATGCTAAATGCAATATTTTTTTATTTAAACAAAAAACTATAAAACTACCCCATTTGGTCATTTTTCAACCCCCTTGCGGCACGTGAAGGGGGTGAGTTATCAAAACCAAATTCTACCCAAATTTTTTTCTCATAATAATGAACAAAATTGCGGGGCAGCCCATTAAAGTTTTAAAAGTTTATAAATAAGAACCACCCTAGTGGTCATACTATGCATACGTATATCACCTGTGCCTTAGTAAGCGGTTGATTTAATTGTATCCGTAAAATATTACGTTCGATACCGTATTATTTTGTTTTTTTACAGATCAAATCCAAGATACAGAGACTATAGTGCCGTTTCTTCTGATTTACCATATTATACTTTTATTTTTTCTGTGGTCGTACTTCAAAACAATATACACGGAACCTGGTTGTGTACCACAAGAAGTAATTTGCATTGTACACCTTATTCTAATACCCTTATTATTTATACTTATTCGCATTTGATCTATATTTCAATACAGTTTAAGCTCTCTGACGAAGCTCTCGAAGAGTTTGATAAACTTCCAATCGATTTGGCAAGACAAAGCATTGTCTTGCGTGAAGTTTCGAAAAATCTACCGATCATGACATTCTCAAATTCTGATGGTATATTATCATATTTATTCCTCGTTTTACGTTAAACAAAGTAATATATATATATACAAAATGAGAAACTACTTTTCAGATATTAGATATTGTAATAAATGTAGAATAGTAAAGCCCGATCGAGCCCACCATTGTAGAGTGTGTGGAAAATGTGTATTAAAAATGGATCATCACTGCCCGTGGATTAACAATTGTGTGTCGTATTCAAACTATAAATTTTTTATATTATTCTTAATTTATGGACTTCTTATGTGTATTTATGTTGCATCCACCACAGTACAATTTGTATTGAAATTTTGGGACACCACATCTGTTATAGTAAAATTATATTTAATATAATGTTATTTTTATGCAATGTTAAACAATCCTAAAAAAATATTGTGTTACGTTTTTTTTTCAGAGATTACAAGGACCTTGGTATAAAATACATATAAATACTTTATTTTATATCGCATCAGTGGGTTCAATTATTCTGTTTTCAATGCTTGCTATCCATATTTACTTGATTTCTAAAAATCGCACTACTATCGGTAAATCAGTTTAATTTGTATTAACTATTATTATTAATTGATTTTGGAAATCTGTTCTCAGAATACCGCCGTATTCCAAAATTTGTAGAGCGTTATGATAAAAACGGATTTAATTTAGGGTGTTTTAAAAATATACAAGAAGTTTTTGGCAGAGAATTTTTATTGTGGCCTTTTCCTATAAATACAAGGTGAGATAAATAGCAGCTAATATTATTAAATTATCCGCTTGTATAACTTGGTGGAAGTTTAGTATTTAAGTAGAAATAAAACACAACGATAATATGATTTAACATAAAATCACACAGTATTAATAGAGAATAATATACAACGTACGTTACAGCATTCGTAATAGAGTGGTGCCAAACATCTAAATACTATAGCTTATATAAGTAGAGTCTAGGTCAAGTGTAATTGGTGTTGTATCAAAACAACTTTTAAATGTTATACAATGATTTCTATAATAATTGGTATATTACTATACAAGGTAATACTAAATGTGTTACTCATTGCAAATTCGTATTTCATAACCCAAATACACAATATTAATTATATTCAATACACTTCTTAATTAATATTCCCTTAAATTGACTTATTCTACTATGATATCTTCTGTACTCCAATGGTTGGTAGAATCATCCCAAATTTGTCTTTTGGGAGTGCTTTTGAAAGATATCTGCTAACATTTCTTCTGTGTTTTTGTATTGACCTTCCACACATTTCTCATGAATGAAATGGTATTGTACATCGATGTGCTTGGTTTTTTAATAAACGAATAGTACTTTGGTTATCAACAAATAATATCGATTTATCATATATACTAGTAGTATATAGTAAGCTCTAGTAAATAACTTTTAAACCAAATTAGCCCCATCGTTACGTCCGAGGCTGAAATGTACTCGGCTTCTGTTGAACTAAGAGAAACCGTTGCTTGACGTTGAGCTTGCCATGAAATTGTAGATGACCGCAACATGAATAGATGTCCCGAAAATGATCTCCTTGTTTCTAAATCTCCGGCATAAGCGGAATCTGTGAATATTCTTAAATCTAAATTATTATCAGATTTATAAGCCAATCCATAATGAATCGTATGTTTTACGTAACGCATAATGCGTTTGACCATTGACCAATGAGCATAAGTTGGCTTTGCCAAAAATCGCGACGCAAAATTAACTGCAAATGCCAAATCTGGTCTTGTTAAATATGACAGCAATAGAAAACTTCCTACTGCTTCTCGATACGATATTTGACCTTCTTTTAGTACTGTTCAATCCGTGTGAACATCCAGTGTCATTGATTTATCAATAGGTATTGAAATTTCTTTGCAACCAACATATTAAAACGTTTAATAACATTTCTAGAATAATTAGTTTGATTAATAAATAATGATCCATCATTTAACTTCTTCATTCTCATTCCTAGAAAATAATTTAAGTTACTATGTATTTTTGTTTTACTGGCTGAGACTATAAGATCATCATCAACAAAAATAGCCAAAATCAATTTTTCATTATTATAATGATTAGTGAAAACACACGAATCATATTTACTTTGAATTAAATTTAATTGTAATAAGAACTATTTAAACCTTGAATTCCAACAGAGTGGAGATTGTTCTAATCCATACAACGTAACCTGCAAATCCGACCTGAATTGTCATCATATCCAATCGGTTGTTCTATTTATAGTTCGTCCTCCAACAACCAAAAAGAAATGCTATACGAATGTTTAATTGGCATAATTCAAATTTTTGAGCCGCACTTATGGCCAAAATTGTTGTGATAGATTCAAATCTGACTACAGGTGAGAATGTCTCGTTGCAATTTATCCCATGTATCTGTAGAGAACCGTTTACAACTTAACTCGCCTTAAATCTATCTACCTGCCCGTTAACATCGTATTTAATTTTGTAAACCCAAGAATTATTTAATACTTGTTTTCCTATTGGAGTTGGCTTTAACGTCCAAGTGCCATGAGTATGTAATGAATTTATTTTGTCGCCCATGGCTTGAATTCAATTACTTTTATATTTACAACTCACAGCTTCATTATAGTTTATAGGTTCATTAACACACATGCACATCTGACCGGTTTACGCAATTCACCTCGATCGTGGAGATTGTGTCGTGGTATTTCCGTTGGCGTGACTTCCAGTTGTTTATCTGGCTGTACGGCTACAGCCTGTGACGTCTCCTTGTAACATCACAATCTTGTCTTTCACTTTCGCTAAACGTTAACTCGTTAGTATTTATTTCATTTTTAAAAACAACATCTCTATAATCATTTATAGTCTTGGTTTTCATACAATAAGCCTTATATCCTCGTTTATCTGAAGGATACCCTATATTTTTCAACCTATAACTACGGAATCCTATAACATTTTTAAAAATAGTTGAATAATTCAGATAAAATACTACTAATATTCTTTAAAAAATCCAAAAAATATTACAAATCCTTTCCCCTAGAAGTGGTAGAAACTCTCATTCATTATTTCTGTTTTTCCATCGAATCTTTAGGCCTTTAGACCTGGAAATTAGACTAAAGATATATCACGAATGAGCTTATACATATACAATTTTCCCAAAAATCTAGCCAAACTTTTTTTTTATATTACGGAAAAAACCAAAAAAAGGGAAAATTACAACTTGACCTTAGAAAATTTCTAAGTTATTATGATTGAATTGAATTAACAGGGTTCTGAAAACTATTTTTACTATGCTGTTAAGTACGATTTATAGGTGATAAGGCAACAAATTATTATAGACAGATGATAAGCCCTAATCGTATTCCCACTAATACTAAATATAAAATTTTAAGGACATTATTGACAATATTTGTATACTTACAGTTAAGCATCGAAGTATTTGATAGGATTTTATTATTCAGTAATAATAATATCTGCAGTTCTGTTACCTCGCTCTCCCCAATATGCTTCGCCCCCCTTATACTCAAACCCACCTGTACTGGCTTTTTTTTAATGTTTTAATTTTTTATTGACACATGACATCAATTTTTTTTTTAAATTATATCCTATTTAATAATTACCGAACTTTTTTCTTTTTTAAACAACTTTTCGAACAATATTTATATTGGCTTTAAAATGTGTTGCTAAAACTTTTCATCTTTTCGAACTAACACTCAGTAATTGTTTTTACCCAACTGCATGTAAAATATTTGTTGTTCTCACACAGCCTTGGTAATGGTGTATCATTTCCAGTCAACATAAAGATACCAGAAGCTCATAGTCTTTTGTATTCGGATATATACGACCAGGAAACTTCAATTAGTAATACATTTTAGTTTTTATTATTAGTGTTGTTCTTTTTTAATTGTATACAACAGTTTATCTCAATTTAAGTTTTAATTTATTATTGTTATTATTGTTAGATATGGAATCGTCCCAGATGACATCAGTTTTATCAGGGTGAGTAATAATTTCTTAAAAAAGCCAGCACAGTGGGGATGGACGTTACAAATTGTTCTCAAGTATTAAAAATTATTGTTGCTAAAAATAAACATTTTGATACGAATGATTATCATATGGATGATAAAATTTCGAAATAAATATAAATCAACTTTTAGGCAATACATGTGTTTATAGTTGTATTTTAACTTGACAAATTGTGTTTTTTTTTTAAAAATACTATAGCCTCGGATACGAAGTATAAAAAAAAGAACATTATTGTAAAAAAACAATACCTTCTTAGCTTTGCATCAAAGCTAAAAATACGAATGGTATTTTATTTGAAAATGTGTTTACTTACAGATGCAGTAATAGCAGTACAGAACAAAAGATCAGACATAATGTAAAACGATAAGAGCTTAATGAAATTTAGCACAATTTATATTATGTATTTACAATCAATATTATTTTCGTGATTTGCTTATAGATATTTTAAATAAAGGATATCATAAGTCAATGTGTTACTGTTTCTCAGTAGATTTTGGTCCAAATAGTCTAATGCGTATGAGTGGTACCGATTGAATAGCTAAATACATCAACCACATCACCAAAATGTTGTCTACGAATATCCTACGTTTTATGTCAGTCATCAATATTTTGGTTGGAAAACTTTAAGCGGTTGTCAATATCGATATCCATGTTCAACCCTATTATGCCATACCGTCCAGATTTTTTCTTGTAATTCTCCAATAAACGACCTCACCATATTGACATGAACAGGTATCACATTCAATTCCATTTTTCTTTTAAACATATTCACATTCATATAACACATTAAAAACAGCCGATGAATATAACAAGCCCAAAAAAATACATCATAAACTTTGTCCCCCTAGAAGTGATAAACATTTTTCCTTGTTTCACTGTTTTAATCAGTTATAGAGATTAAATGATGGAAAGTAGATCTAGAATGTAACTATAACATATGTAATTTTCTCAAAAACCTGTAGTCAAACTTTATTTTTTTTGAGGGAACCCCTAAATAAGGGAAACATTACACTTTGGCCATAGTCAATTTCCAGGTTGCTATGACTTGCTTTTGAAGTATTAAAACTGACTGCGTAGAATTTGTGCCAGTAGTAATATTGTCCACATATGTCTGAGTTGATAAAACAAAGCAAAATTTTTGCAGCTGGGTATTTGGCTCCCTTGTCTATTTCTAACTAATTCTTTTTCTTGTCGTGTCGGTCTTCATATTCCCTTCCTTTCCCAATAAGGAGCAATTTGTATTGCCTTGTCTGAAATTTCATTTGCCAAAAATTCTTCCTTTCTGCACTTAATCGGTAGTAGTGGGCATGCAAACAGATAGTCTGCATCCTGCTCCCCACCGCATTCGCATTTTTCATCCTCTTTCATTCCCCATTTTTTCATATTACTCGCTGTCTGTCCTTCCAGTTTTGTTCGTAATCTATTTAGTGTCTTCCATGTCGACCATGGTATATGACTACCGGGTGGTAAGCTTTCATTCCCTTCTTACATAAGTCTGTTCTTGTCACTTCAGGTATTTGTGATAGGCCAATTGTTGTATATATGATAGTATATATTAAACACTTATGTAATTTTGGTAGGAAGGGAGGTCGCCTCATCGAAGTAAATTAATATGAGGGTCGTGGATCAAAAAGGTTGCGCACCACTGATTTATATCACTATATTTTATAATGGACATTTGTCCGTGAAAATTATAATAAATAAATCGATTAAGGCCAAATATTAAAAAACTACCTAGTAAAAAAACTTTTAAAAATCAGAAAGTTAGAAGTGTAGGTACACTTAAATTGACATTTACTCGGTCATAAGACGTATACATATGTGCCCATGTATCCGCTTGTTGTGTGGATACTTTGAATTTTTTAATTTAATTTACGTTATTTATTTACACATGATACTACTTAAATAAACAAAATTAGTTTTTAAATCTTTTAAGAATAAACTAATTATAGAATAGTTATTATTGTAATAAATAATATTCTATATTATATAAATCATAACAAAATATAAATAGTAATGCATAACATAAATACAATTTAACTTTAAATTTCACATAGTGTATAATGCACGTAGTGGACGCATTTTTTTTGTACTCATTTCAGTTATAATTACTAATTTTCATCTAAATACATATGCATATATTCATTAATAGTCGAGAACAATTCAAGAGTTTACAACTAATGTTTTACTCTCATATGCGTTAACTATATAATTTATAATTTGTTTTTACTAGATGTTTAATAGTATAACTCTATAGTAACTTATTCAGTACAAATAATAGAACACGAATTAATAATGTAACATATTGAAGCTAATTATTTAATTTTGTTATTAAAATATATATCACATAATTTAATTTAGGTTCTGGAGTAGTGTAGTGTGATTTTTGTTCTTGTGGAAGTAGATTAATAACTTCAAAAATACAAGGAAGTGAATACTAAAAATTTGAGAAATTAAAATAGGATTTAAACACAATTTGAATTGAAATTTCTACACACTACTTTAAGTTCATTCGATCGTACTCATTAAGTTACTATACAACTATACTATTGAATACCTAGCGAAAAAAAAAAGGAATAAATGATATAGTTGACACATTTAAGAGTAAAACATTAGATGTAAATTCTAGAATTGTTCTAGATTTGAATAATTGTATTTGGATTAAAATAAGTAACTATAACTGAATTATGTACAACAAATAAGAATGCGTCCTTGGTCAGCTATACACTACGTGAAATGTCGAAATAAGGAAAAAATCCCCAGTAAAATGAAATTAATGTTTGCCCATAACTTAATAACGATTTAAATTACAATGTCCAATTAAAGTGGACGATAAACACGGCATCATAAGCTTAAAAAAAAAATGTAAGTATGCTCTTTGTTCGTAAATATAACTCATTAGTCATAATTAATAGAAATTATTGATTCGTCTTACTATGTTACAAGTGTTATTGTAGGCTTTTTGACTTCTATAGCGCTATTAGTTCACTACGTCCGCCACATCATTGATTAAATACGTATTTAATTAATGATTCAACGAAACGTGTTATCAGCGACTACAGAAAACTATACTGTTGTACGCCGTGATAAGCAAAAAATCACAAATTTCTAGACAAATATTAAATGTACGTTTTGTAATTTATCTGTGAATAATATTATTTATTAAAAATGAATAGTGTATACAACAGTTTTATTTATTTAGGTTTATATTTTTTTCATAAATGATATTATATACAAAATTTTACTCAATAATCAGTCTGTCGTTAGCACTGAAAAAGAGAATACGCGTAGTGTATTATTTTTATGATTTAAATATTCATTTCTTTGCAGTACCAATTATCATTTTGTACTGCTAATAAGTATAAAGTTTAAAAAAACAGTCAGCATCATATTAAAATATTATTTTGTCTGTGCACGCTAATAACGCACACACGGCGATCGTGATTGCCGTCGCCGGAATTTGATAAAAACTGACACGACATAACACATATCATTATGTCAAAATATAAACTATTTATTATTTAAATGTGATTTACTATTCTTTTAACGCGACATTTAATGGTGCCGAAACAAGGTATTCTTTAGATATTCAGTTAAATAATAACTGGTGTTATCAATACAATAGTGTTGTGCGTTAACATAAATACTTAGCGACATTGTTACACTCTCTTATTGTACACATTTCTCGCAAATCGTAAGTTTATACATTTGTCGACCTAATAAAATACTTGCATTTACTGTACTAAGTATCAAAAAAAATATACAGCCGATAAATCAGCACCTATGCTAGTATACTCGCTACGCTTTTGTTGATTTTACCGAGCAAACTCATTTTTGTTGACAGTTAAAATTAAATTTTGATAAACTTACTTTGAGTTAAGTTTACAATTTATTTATCGAATTCGTATTAATACTGATTGAACTAATGAGATAGAATTACATTTTTAAGTAAATTCAGTAGTTTATCACTACTAAACGTTGATTGTATACAGAAAATTAAACTACTATTTACTTTATTCAACAAGTATTAATGTTAAACTACTTAAAGTATAGTATAATGTTATATTAATATACAATCAATGCAAACTAGTTTCAATTTACAGTATTACTGCCAAATTTTTGTGCTACCTGTTTTGATTTCTGTAGTAGTGACCTGCGGTAGACAAGTTAAATAAATCTAAACTGCTGTATCAAAGACTGATACTCGCCTAACACTTAAAGGCATAGTATTTAGAAAATTCTTTACCCTTTAAATTTTGCATAACTATCTATTTTGATTATTTGTTTATACATTATTTATTTAAGTTTTGCACTTCAGTAGCAATCAAGTTGTGCATCAGCTCTAGATTTTACACTACAATGCTACATCGTCAGTATTCATATTCTTAACTAGAATCTTTGATAAAGAGTAAATTCTAAGTTAGGTATGTACAAACAGGGTAACAACATGTAGGCAACTGTTGACTACACGTTGCCGGGTGTTGACAAAAAAATTGTCAGATGCAGATGCTTGTATCATTATTTTACATTTTGTTAACAGTGTGGTGCGTTCAAACCAAAATTATATTTAATAGTAAAAGCTAAGTAAATAGTTTATTACAAGTTTTCTTATGTTCTAATTACACATTACAAATTATGTTACTAATTACAGTTAATTTATGACATTGTGATAATGATGTTTTCATGTTGATATTAGTTAATGGGTTATTTTAGTACTAATTTAAAGTTGATCTTTATCTTCACTTGAATCTGATAGAAGAAGATCTTGCGGTAGACACGATTTCCCAGGTTGTAGAAACGTGCGCCATCGGATGTATTGAGATTTGCGTGAAAGTTTTTGAATTGTATT